AGCTGACATTGCTCCCCACCGCAGCCGCGACACTTGCTTTCAATGCAATCCTTCAAGGACTCTGCCGAAGCCGATGCCAGCACCAAGCTGAGCACAAGGGCACGAGCCATGGCAATGAACAGGATGATGAGATCTCTACACCGAGCAATGCTGCTGGTTCCGAAAATCCTGAGCCAAGGATAGCCAGGCAGATCATGAGATCCCAGATGTGGCTGTGATTCAGCATCCACACATGCAAACTCGACCTAAACCCCAAAGTCCTAATGCTGCTACGCCAAACTGCTCCTTGCAGTCAATCCCCGTGATGGAGCGGTGGCCTCCATGGAGTCCACGGCTGCATGCTCCGGGTGTCGGAGAGCAGAGAAGCTCCTGATGCTGTAGGATCTTAGGGAACTTTTTGGAGTACGGGGGAGACTTGCGGATTACTTGACTACTTGGCTCTATACCACCACCACCCTCCTCCCTTAATCATGGTTTGTGAACTTTTGGGCGGTGGGCTGCAACGCAAAGCGTAGGCTTTAGAGTTTAAGGCTTCGGCGGGCTATGTCATGTTTTCATAAGCTGGGTGCAGGAAGCCTGCACCGCGAGATCCAAGCGCGCAACCTCAACGGCCCTCAACGGCCTAAAGGCCCAAAGCGGGCCGCAGGTCGAAACCAAAACTTCCCTCCTACTTTCAAGGGCATCCCACAGACTACTTGGAGGTTCATGGGTAGTTATAAGTGCGGTATAAGTAGGGTCACTACAGTTATAACCCATATTAGGAGACAAATAAGCCCACTTATGCCTACCCATGAACCTCCAAGCACACCACCCAAAGACTACACCACCTGTCAGCCCCAGGTTCGATCCGGCCCCCGTCATCATGTCATCCATCAGCTGCTGCTGCTTCACCGTGCCGCCGGAGGCAGCTGCGGAATCCTGGCTCAGGGGCTCGGACCTACGAGGAACCCAGAGACTCCAAGATCCCTTAAGTAAGGAAGATACCTTAAATTATAGCAGGATCCCTAATATGATTTAAGGTGTATTCCTAATATGATTTAAGGTGTATTCCTTAATTAAGGGGTATTGGAGTCTCTGGGAAGCTGAGGGATCTTCAGGCCTTGAGTCGAAGACTTTTGGCTCAGACTTCCCCGAGCATCTGGGTTTAGGGCTTAGGGCTTAGGGTTTAGGGTTTAGGGTTTAGGGGAGCATCTGGCTGCTGCGAGTACTTGGAGGTTCATGGGTAGTTATAAGTGAGGCTATTTGGGGTTCCTTTAAAGGGTTCTATAGGGTTTAGGGTTTAGGGTCTACGGGTAGTTATAACTGGGGTCATAAGTAGGGCAGCTGTAATTATAACCCATATTAGGGGACTTCTAACCCCACTCATAACTACCCACGAACCTCCAAGTAGGGATGGAAGAGATTCGGGGTGCAAATGTCGCATCATGATGCAGCTCGCGCGAGAGCCCCTGTGCAATCTCATATTGCGTCTGTCTTGGTGATGCTGCATACGGACAGCGAATGCTCATGAACAGCGTCAATAGGGCCTGCATCTCAAAATCGAACCATGCGGAACCCTGCAGAACTGATCGCAGGCCAAGACACGACGAAGACGCTGATAGCATGGGCCATAGCTGCCGCAGTTCCTTTCTGCTGCAGCCAGGCGAGGAGGTGGTCGTTAGCAAGTGTTGCACATGATTTCTGCTGAATTGAAAGGCTTCGGGCTGCACGGGCTCTTGCACCTTACGGTGTTCTCTCATATGGCTTCTGGGATTTGAGCTTTGGGAGGGTAGGTAGATGTTGTCCGGGGCGCAAGGAATGTCAAGCTGCTTGGCGGTGATGGTGTTGCTCCCGGCAACACGCATGTGTCGCAGCATCACTATGGTTTTTGCCTCTTTTTCTCAACTCCACGACGAGCAGACTAGCTAGCATTCGCTATGCGGAGTCCTCGCGCAGACTGGCATTGCGTCACCGTGGCATCCGCCACCACCTCGGTCGCCTGAAGCCCGACTCCAACGCCGTAGGGGCCTCGGGCTCGCATCCGGCTCATGACAACTCGGTTTAGGGTTTAGGGGTTTAGGGGTTTAGGGGTTTAGGGGTTTAGGGTTTAGGGTTTAGGGTTTAGGGTTTAGGGTTTAGGTCTGGGTTTCTGGAAGGAGCTCAGAACAGCCCAATGGCCAAGCCGGGCTGACAGCGGAATGGCTTAAAGACTATCTAATTCGCGAAACGGTCCACGATGACCCATGTTGCACATGAAGGATGCCTTCGCATGCTAGGTGCCGGGTGGCTCAAAGCTACCGAGGAGCTGCAAAAAGCAGCGTTACAGGAGTTGCCTAAGCCAATGGAAACCCGATGGAAGTGGCGCTGATGATGATCTAAGGGCACCCTGCCAGAGAAAGACAGGCTTTCAACCCACTCTTGCAGCCACTCGGCCAGGACCGGCAATGGCCAGGGGCACAAGAGCTTCTGGGCCTTCCGGTCGAAGCCTGCCGTCTTCCGCTGAAGCTAAGCAGGGGTTGAGGGTTTCTCAGCTCCAGGGCGCCACTCCTCCTGCTGCTGCTGCTGTTGCCGCCGACCCGCCACCGCTACGGCTATTTTGCTAGAGCTACCGCTACCGCGACGACTACGCTGCGTACTCCCTGCTTCACACAAACTGCAACTTTCCTGAGAAGGACCAGCTGAGATTCTATAACATAGCCCTTCCACGAAGCCAAGAGGCAAGCAGCGCCCACTTGTAGCCGCGATGGCCGCTGTGGTTGGGACCAGTAGCAAGGGCAACGAGGAACCTAGCTGCTCACCACTGCACCGGGCTTAGGGTTTAGGGTATAGGGTTTGGGATTTAGGGTTTAGGGTTTAGGGTTTAGGTGTAGGATGTTTGAGATCTTGACTTAGGCTAGTGGATTTGAGGTTCCAGGCTGGTTGTAAGTCTTGCGCCTGCTCGAACTCAGCCGTTCGAAGCTTCGGACTGCAAGTTAAGAAGCTCCAGGCAGGGCACCGCCTCCCTGCAGCCCTCCAAAACTCAAGGACAAGCTGAACCGTGAACCACAAAGCCCGTTCAGCCCCACCCCAGACTTGAGCCGCAGGACTCTTTCTTCAGAAAACGCGCTGACCCTAACGCAAAGTCCTCCCAAATCAAAGTCTGAGCGGTCAGCATCCTGCTTGCTAAACGCAAGGGATGGGCTGCTTGCTGTAGCCTAATTAAAGTTCGACTTGGTTCCCAGTCAAAACAGATTCTGTCCTAGCAGCACCAAGAAAGACACTTTCGACGATATGTAAGAGAACGAAGCAGAAAGCCAACAACAACCAGTGTTGTAGACCAACTTGCACCCCGCCTGCCAGCAGCGTCGAGGCCCGCGGCTTTGCATCGCTGCCCAGCAGGAAGCTTTCAGCGACAGGGGCATTCGGCCACTTCGGCAGAGCGCCGTTGATGCCCTGACAAGATGAGGTGCTCGGTGCATGTATCGGATGTTGCGGATTCCGGGGGATCGGGGGTGCCAGCGAGGGGCTTTGGGGGTAGTGTAAGGGCCTTAATAATTAGAACAGGGTTTTGGGGCCCATTATACTATAATTATACTAAGGAACCCCGAAACTAATATAGGTAACTACGAAGGCCCCTTTAGTAGGGCTGGTGTAGATATCAGAACAGGGTTTTGGGGCCCAGTATACTATAACTATACTAAGGAACCCCCCAAAATAGTATAGGTAGCTATGAAGGCCCCGATACTAGGGCTGGTGCAGATATCGGTGCTTCCGGGATCATCTTTCGCTTCGCTGAGGCCAGGGATGGGGATGCCACGGTTCGGCCTGAAAGCTGTGGGTTCTAGGAACTAATGTAGGGGCCTTTTAAGGGTTCCTTAAAGGCTTCTATAAGGGCTACTACAAGGGTTTAGGGTTTGGAGTGTAGGGGCCTGAATAATCAGAATAGGGTTTTGGGGCCCATTATACTATAAATATACTAAGGAACCCTAAACCCTAAACCTTAAACCCTAAGTCCCCCCAACATAATATAGGGACCTATTGAGGCCCCTATCTTACTTCAACCTCAACGTGAGGATCTCGGACCTACGCCTTGGATTTCCCCTTTTCCGGGATCTTCCGGGTCGGAGCTGCTTTAGGGTTTGCATGGGATTGGGGTTTAGGGTTTAGGGTTTAGGGTTAAGGGTTTAGGGTTAAGGGTTTAGGGTTTCGGAATTAGGGTTTAGGGCATTTGTCTAGAGCCGGGATCCCTTCAGGTTGAGACAACAACGAGATGGGCCATGATTTGGGAGTCTCCGAAAACAAGGGGCTACAGTATTTTGGGGTCCCTTGTATATGGATCCTACTATTTAGGGTACTATATTGGGGTCCCCTATTTTCGGAAAGCCCCATTTGTCCCTGTGGTCAGAAGTTGCACTTTCCGGAATTCTCAATCTTCCCTAAACCCTAAACCCTAAACCCTAAACCCTTCATTCACTGGCGCGGGGGGGTTCAGCACTCCAGTGGTCCTCACGCAGCCTACGCTTTGGGAGCGGCCCCTACAGTGGATTGATACCGCTGCCTACTGCTGTTGTTGCTGCTGTTTGCTTTTAGTCTAGTGCAAAAAATGTTACTGTCAAGAATGAGCTCAAGAATCAGGGCCATGATTCCAAGGAGTATACCTAACCCTAAACCCTCAACCCTAAACCCTCAACCCTCAAACTTGCACCGATGCCGAAGCTCGTTGGTTCCGGCAGCATTGCCCTTGCCCCGCATGTTGCCGTTCACCAGGAGCTCCGTCAGCTCCCGACCGGGCTTGGCCTTCGGACAAGCGGGTTTAGGGTTTAGGATTTAGGGTATAGGGTTTAGGGTTTAGGGTTTAGGGTATATTACTGTTGATGATATAAACCGTGCAGTACCTTCAGGAACCTAAACTACGGGAACTATGGCATATTCCTTACTATTATGCGTAATGCAGGACTTATAGCATCAAGCGTATTACATTAAATTACATTGTATTATACCACGTTGTATTATCAGAAGGAGACCCTATAACATGGTGTCATGAGACGTTGTCATATCATGCCAATGCCACGCATGTCATGTCATGTTATGTCATGTTATGCCACCATATACTACATTGGGTTATAATAGTTCTTAATTTCATATTATATTAAACTATGCTATGTTTTGTAGAAAAAATTATGGTACATTATATTCTACTGTATAAGACTATATTATATCATATGACATTGCACTGTACTGTGTTATATCATAGAAGGTTGTATCATATTGTATCATACAATACCATGTCATATCACGTTGTATATTTTATAATGCTATATCATACTTTATCACAGTTTATCAGCTTTTACTTTACCCAATCTTGTATTCATCTTGGGATATAATATGTGTCTGTGTTATCTTGTAGTACAGTCCAGCAAGTTGGTTGATTGTTCAAGTAGATGCAGGACATAGCACCTTAGGCAGCAGCGCAGTGACAGCTAGGATGTAGGGCTTTTAGAGTCGAAGTGTAAAGGGTTTAGTGTCCCTGAAACCCCCGAGCCCCCATCTTTGGGCTACAAGGTGTTGGGATGATTCATTTGTCAGGAGCTCCCAAAAACTTCGAGGATAGTGTCATACAAGGGCTGTTATAAATCGACTGCAGGTTTGGCGTATACACTAATAAGGAGCCCCTCAAAAAAGAGCTAAGGCCCTTGTAGTGTGGGGCGTACTTGTCGTTGCCAGGGCATGCAGCGGTCGAGGGGTGCTGTTGTCAGCTCTAAGCCCAATCCGGTCTGAAACCACGAGGAAATCCCAAGGCGTTCGGCATATAGCGGCTGGGTGGCTGAGCCACTGCCGGGACGGGTGAAGATGGGTGAATACTGGGCGCTTGCGCGGACAAGCCTAGGAAACGGAGTCATCAGGGTTTGGCGCTTCGAAACTTTGAAGCTAAAGGGTGTACGCGGTGTTGGCGTTTAAGGGGCTGGGCTTTGGAAATTTTTAGGTTTGAGGATCACAAATCGAGGGCTAGGGCGTGAGGCTTTGGACTCAATCTCTTAACTAGTTCATGGTTGGGGTAGTATTAAAAATATAAATTTATATTCCTTATTGGGTTTAAGTACCCTTAAAAATGTAAAATGTTACCCAACTATGACAAAGTTAAGGCCTCAGGTTTGGGGCAGGGCTTGGAGGTTTCAGGATTGGCTCTGGATCTTGGTTTGGGCCCGTGTTTTGCAGACGGCATGTGCCAACATGTGGCTCTGAAAGCACATGGCCTAGTCTAACAGTGGAACAGCTGTTGAAACAACGCTCGGTTTCGAGGGGCGCCAGCACGGAATCAAGTTCTCCAGAACACCTTTCGTAGATACGAGGGTGAGGAAAACTCTCCGCATGCTTATCGTACGTAGGTGATCACACCTGAAACCCCTTATCAAGGCGAGTGAGACTGCGGTGAGGACCCCTCTTTCCGTCGCGAACGGGTCGGAACACGCTGCAACGCCTCAATTCCCTGAAAAACCCTTCAGGGAGAAATCTGATGCCAGGGTGCGGAATGATGGCGGCCGCTGCCTTCGCTAAGTCCAAGACACCGCCGTGGCCCAAACCTAAGGTCCGGACGCGGTCATCATCAGGCTGAGATGTGGGGGTGAAGAGGGTTTGAGGTGTTGATTGTAGTGAAGTCTTATAGGAATTTCGAAGGCTGGTTTCGGCACATCCGCCAAGCCGTGGGTGGCATCTGAATTCAGCTCTCATGTAGAAACGAACTGATTCAACGCAGCGATTTGTCACCGTGCACAAGCCGAACGAAGGCTATGCAGCATCATGCTAGAGCTACTGCTACTTGGTCGGATGCGCATGCTTGCTGTGTGAAGTGCTCTGTAATTCCGAAGGGCTGACCTGCTTAGAGGGTATATCGTAGTTCTCTACATGGTTGTGAAAAGCTCTGGATCCGTGTGTGTGTGTGTGTGTGTCAACTACGACCGGCATGCTGGCGATTGCGGAAACACAAGTGGGTCAGCTGCGCTTAAAGCTGCGACTGGAGCAAACATCTTCAGCATGGAGTTGGGGGTTTCGTGTTATTCAGAACTGTCAGAAAACCTCAACTAACCAACTGGAATGCTGGGTAACCTTCCCACCTCAGATGTTTCGCTCACATCAAGGTCGCATCCTGAGACCATGGGGACCCGGCCGACCACGGCGTCGATGTCTGTCGATGCCGCATCGTAAGTGACTGCAGGGCAGCACTGTGGCCGAGACTGTGGGGGAATTACCTTGAGACGGGCCCTTCAGACAGTTGACGATCAACAGCCATTCATGCACCTGCCTGAGTCCACCAGGGACGGTGTTGGGCAGCGGCTGGAGAGGGATGGCTCCCAAAGATTCGTCTGGATGCCCGCCTCGGGTAGGATGCGGAGGGGAAACTGGGGGGCGAGGTGCGTCCCCCCCCCAACACCACGACAACAAAGTCACCCTGCCTTCTGCAAGGAGTCAATGACGGAAGCTGCCTCATTGCCTCTGCATGGTAAGGCTTCCGGTTTAGCACTTAGTTTGTAGGGTTTCAAGCCTACGACTCGAATATGGGATTTCCAGTTCATGCAGGTTCGTCTATTTCAGAAGCAACAAGGGTGTGCTTTCCCGTCTTCAGCGACACTGAGATGGTTTACTTGCTACCGCAACAAGAAGGAGGCATCGGAAAGGACCGTAACACCAGTGCCAGCAAGAGCAACAATCACGCCCTCCGCCGCCCCGTCCTGAACAGCATCATCAACAAAAACGTCATCATCAACAGCAAGAACAGCCATCCTCCCTGTACCATAAGAACAGATAGTTGCCGAAACAAGCACAGCAAGCATTGCCGAACATGCAGAGAGTTATAGGCCATGGCAACAAAAACGATTGCATCTGGTGGTCACCACTCGTGACAGCAATACTGGGTTCTGTTGAGTAGAGATGCCCATGCTCGAAAACTTAAGCAACACAGAACCCCTAAACCCTAAACCCAAACTCTAAACCCTAAACCCTAAACCCAAACTCTAAACCCTAAACCCTAAACCCAAACTCTAAACCCTAAACCCTAGCAAACCCGCAGCATGGTTATGACCATCGCCTCCCCCACTCATCCCACGGCTGGCCTTCGGTCTTTGCGAGGATGAGACAATGCCTGGGAGGCTCAAAGAAGTTAGGGTTTAGGGTTTAGGGCTTTAGGGGTTCAGACTTTAGGTCCTCAACACCAAACCCCAAGTCCAGCGGAGGCTGAAAGCTCTGAAGGAGACGTGCTGCACCGCCTAGAGCCCAACCTCGATGTAACGTCCGACTTGGGTGTTTGCCAGGGATCTTCACCGGTTTCGATCGTACCAACGCGCCAAAGTCAACCTTACATCTCACACGCGCCTATGCCCTGGGCCCTCAAGTCTGCCACCCGGGCACCGCCAACCCCGCCCGGCAGCCACTGCACCGACTCTGGACAGCGGCTTCATGGCCCGGCGCCCACGGATATCGGGCTTTGGGGGTTCGGGATCGATGGCTTCAATTTCGGGTTGAGGGTTTAAGGGGCTTGCCGAAGTCAGGGTTAGGGTCGTAGACTAGAAGTTCGGGTTTTTTGAGTTTAGGTAAACAGTGGGCCCCATCTCCTCAACTTGCACGCCTGACTAAATATCATGATGTCGGCCTGCCTAGCAGCCTACAGGCATTGGACACACACACACACACACCAAGCTTGGGGTAGCTCGGTGAAGGAGTCAGTCTCCGTAGAACAAAAACAGACATACGCATCCATCATCAGCAACGGCATCAAGATCATCACCATCATCACCTTCATCATCATCACCATGATCAAAGGATCGCGTCATCAAGACACTCGTCACCACTGTAAACTTTAACACTGTAAACATCAATACGATAGCCGGCATCACCACTCTGCTCACGATCGTCATCTGTGCACCGGCAGCACCAGCAGCAGCCAATAATACTGCCAGCCATGTCACTAAGCCCTAAGCCCTAAACCCCAAACCCTAAACTAATATGCAGATGAGTCTTGATCTTTCCGGGCCATCCTGACCAAAGCAACATCCTGAAAACTGAATCCGAAACCCTAAACCCTGAACCCCGAAGCCTGCAACTCCAAAGCCCGGAACTTCTACACCCCCACAACAACGCTTTGAAAGAAGAACTGACAGAAGCCCTTACGAGGAGCCCTTTGGAGCAACAATTAGAATACCCTGAACCCTCAACCCTAAACCCTGAACCCTAAACCCTAACCCTAAATCCTAAACCCTAACCCTCAACCCTAACCCTAGACCCTAAACCCTAAACCCTAAACAATAAACCCTAAGCCGTAAAACCCTAAGCCATCGCTTTTTGACCTCAGCTCCCGCCGTCTTTGCCAGCTGCCTTCAGGTCTCTGACCAAGGCATGGCGACTCGGCCGCCAGTCGAAGCGCTCCTGTGGTGACGGTGATATATGGGGCTACGACGGTTAGGGTTTAGGGTTTAGGG